GGCGCATGCTATAGGAAAGTCAAAGGATTTCATACAATAGGTAGTACCACTAATAACTAGCATATTGCTTTCTTTGGAAGCCCTGCATATTTGTTACCTTACGTTGCTAATTCCCATACCCGGACGTATAACCACGGGAACAACCAAGTGAATGCTGATGTTAAAATAAAGGGTCTCTACATTCTTTAATTCTTAGAATTCTAACACTAAATAGAACGATAAATTCTTACGTTTTCTTGTCTTTATTCTATAAACAGAACTCAGCTCGAACTAGTACACATCACGAAATTTATTTTTCAAATATTTACAAGTTAATAATGAAAGGTCATGTCGCAATTATGCATTGTTAGTCGTCATGCCATTTGAAAAACGCAAACAAATCACGTAAGTATTAGCTCTTACGTTATTCTAACGGAAAAAAAAAAAAAAAAAAATACTAGTTTTCACTACATGACTGAGCGGGAGAATGCCTGTCGTTGATCTTGGATACCTAACTGGTAAGAGTACGATTTCGCCTAACTACATGCTTACTTTGATCAAGAACACCCCTCCCAGGAAAACGGATGCTAGGGTCTCCTATTCCTATCACATCATCTCAATGGGACTTTGATACAGACAGGTTTTCAGTGCTTTTAAGACGCTAAGATACTGCATATATACAAACACCCATATTTTATCCCGTATTCGATCCTGGAAGCCAGATTTAGAAATGATCATTAAAGAGTAGACCAACTCTCTGAGATTTCTTAAGCCTTTTAATAATAATAATTTCTTATTGGATTGAGTTGGAAAGAAAAAGAGATGACGGAATCAAAAACAAAACTATGTTGCTAAATTAATAAGAAAAATAGCTACATTCTTTTTATCATTTCTTCTATTGCATCCAGTACTATTACGTGTAACTACTATATGCTCAACATTAATTATTTTTTGCAAAGATGGATAAAATAGGTGATTTTATAAAGCACATATTTACTGAGAACTTAAAACAGCATAAAAGAAATATCTGTTTATATATATAAGATTTTAGAATATTTTTAAAGAAATACGAGTAAATTTAAGGTTTGGTTTGGTTTATTGAGATTACGGCAAAGCACACTAAAACTTAAAACTTAAACTTAAACTTAACTTAAAATTTGTTTTAAATTTAAGAAATTTTTATAAAAAATTGTATTGCCCCACGTTTTCTTTTGAGAGTGAATATTCTGAGACTAAATAATTAAATTCTTTGAAAAAATTAAAGATTGACATACTAACTTTTCTTTGAACAAACAGTTTATTATTTAATTTTACAAACACACAAAATACACGCGCACACATAAAAAAAGGAATTAGAAAGAAATATAGAAATATCAAATTCCTTTCAAAATGAAGTTTAATCTTTGAAAGCCTTTGAAAACACATATTTTTATTTTCCATTGATTACTTTAGCCTTGGAGAAAGAAGTGAGTGCAGTCTTCTTTTTCTTCTCATCACTTAACAACGGTAAGACTCGAAATAGAAAATTAATTCTTTCTTTAATTTAACGCATTTCAGAGATGAATACTCCATTTTTTTATTTATTTTCTCGTGGCTTACAAACGGTAAGTTTATTGCTTGATTTTTATGCGAAGCAAAACGCGTAATAGTAAATTTTATTAGATTGCATCCTACATATTGAATATTAAGCTATTTCTTAATTAAATATTTTAAATGTAAAGATATTAAAAAGCTTCCGAGTAAATTACTGCAAACATTAAAATAAGAAATTGGAAGACGTTATCTCAAAGAATTAAAGACTTTTTATACACTATGTGTACATAGTGTATTACATCCGAAAACAGTAAGGGAAATTTTACCCGTATGTGTACATACGGGTAAAATTTCAGTCTGCAAAGATGTTAACTTACGATACTTAATAAATGTTAAAGAAATATCTAAAAAATCAGAGTGCAAAGCTACTTTTTTTCACTTTGGTAGGGAAGGAGGAAAAATGGAAGCCAACCCTATGTCCACAAGTAATGCATTCCAAGGCCCACCACCAGTAAAACAGCTGAACACTGATAGCTCTGATGTGGGTTCGAATCCAGGCGGCTGCATGGGCGTTTACGTAGTTTTCCCCATGCATAACGTGTATACGAGCCAGTTACCCTTAGAAAGTTCTCCACGAAGGCATCCGTCCTCTTAGGAAGATAGTCCTAGCGTGCTTTGCCATAATAAAATAAACCCAAAATGAATCTTTTGAACGAAGGTAAATTTCACAAAATTGGCTTTACAAAAAATTACAGGAGAGTATTTTGCAAATATATAATTCAATTTTACATGTTACCAATTGAGTTTAATTAGTTAAATGTTCATTATTTTAATCAGTTAAATACTAATCATTCTTTATAAAATATATTTCATGTGCAAAATTTCCAGAGGTGTTCGTGATTAATTGCTTCATCATTAGTTGTTTATTCGTTTTACACGAATTTTACGCCTTTGAGGGAAACACCCATTTTTTAAATTTATTTTTATACATTTATTTACTTATTTTTAACATTATCTTAATTTTCAAAATGATATCCATTTTGTTTCATTTAAATGCATTTTATTTAATTTTAATTTTAAGGCGCATTACATAACAAACATTATTTTATTGTCAGAGTGCTCCAACAGTATTATTAATAATAAAATGTGGGTTTTATAGTTAGAGTCTCATTTTCTTGGGAAGCATACAGTAAGACGAGACCCTAACTGGATCTAAGCGACTATGGCCAGTAAAGAAAGCAAAAACTCGAGAAGAGTGTAAAAGATCCTTTTAATTAAGAATTTCAATAATTTATCAGAAGGCACTTCTTGTGCTTACAAAAGCAGACAGCTTTTATAGCGTAACACAAATATTAATGAATTAAAATTAAAATTAGGTTAAATCTAAGTTAGCAAAAGCTGCAGAGGAATGAATAACGCGCAAGTTGGCTAAAACCTATACCGGCGTGACAATCACTATTATCAAGAATGAAACAACTCCGAAAACAGAATCGAATCGAAGAACTGCAACTAGGAACTTAGCCTTCTGCAGGCGGAACACGCTTTGATTAAACAATTTAAAATTTCGCTTTAAATACTATTTGTTCCTACCTTATTTGAATACGCCCGAACTAAAATTAGCATTCTGGGAGGAAAACGGAAAAGGTAAATGACAGCGAAGATTTAATAAAAAATAACTGGTTTCAAATAATTAATAAATATCTTACAACGTAATTAAATAGCAGATATAACTGTCATCCGAAAACAGTAACGGTACTCATTCCATAAAATGACATTAAGCAAAGATAAGGGTTAAATGTGGTCAGTTTCTATCAGTCAAATCCTATAGTAGCCTGCATGTTTCTATATATAATATCCATCGATTTGATACTGATTCCCGATTAACCCAGGTTTCTAATTATTCGAAGTTAATCTCCAGAGAAAATAAGTTATTTTTCTTATAACCTAAATAGGGAAGAAAATGTCTTCCGGTCGCCTGCAACAGCTTTTATTTTATTAGCATAAAAATGTTTTCACTTCTTTCCTTTATTTCTATGCGTAGGCATCTGAAGAATGTAATTACAGTCCAATCTCTTTTATCCGAACACAGTACGATGATATAATTTTAGATAAACAACAACAATTTTCATAAAATATTTTTTGCTTACAACAGTTTTGATTATAAAGTTACTTTTAAATGCGTTTGAAATGAAATAAATTTCAAAATTTCAATTTAGAATTTATTTTTCTTTTTTTAACGGCATGAAGGAAATAATATGCATCTGTAACTGAGCAATGATGCAGTACAAGTAACAAAGTAATAGTAACGGGTGCGGGAGACAGTTCAATTTTTATTGAAGTACTTAGGTATGCTAAGCTTTGTATTTCGCCATTTTGAATAACAAGTGGTAATCTTCACAAAAATGAAACATTAATTTGGAATGTACTGTAAATATTTTTTTATAAATGTTTGGTATGCCTTGTTAGTTTATTGCATGTAAGAAGAATCGCCACTTAAGATATATATATAGTATTGCTCTAACATAGGTATTTTTACCCCAAATCAGACTAAACATAATATAACTAAACATTGTCAACAGATATAATTAATTAGTAGATTCAAATATACCTTAAACAACCTGAGATGATTTGTGTAGCATCAAATTTTGATATTTGTTAAATTACGATTAAAACTTCACGCAGAACGTTTGCTTTCGGAATATACTTATTTTTAAACTTAAAAGACTTTTATATATTTTCTTTTCGTTTTCGAAAAGACTAAATTTTATTCCTTCTTGATAATAAAAATATTATTTAAAAGAAAAAACAGGTTTTAAAGAATTATACTTAAAATCATTTTAGAATTTAATTTTGTAGAAATTTTTCTAAAAAAATCATTTTTCTTAGCCTAAACTTACCGGGTGAATTGCATCCTAGTTCTGTTATTCGCTAAACTGAAAAATTCTCTGGCAAAATCTTCTTTAGGAGTAGAAGAAACTTTATATATTTTGAAAGTAGGTCTTGGGTAGTATCATTTAATTGTTTGATAGCACATTTTGTGACATCGATTGTATTTTTAGGAACATGTTTTACTATAGAAAAGTGATTGTCAGATAATCCTTACCCTAAGTTACCTCATTCAGCTTCACTAAACGATTCATTTGCCGAAGGAAGTAAGACAAAATCCGTTACTCTCTATTTATAGCACCATAATTGACATGTATTGGCTTTATCATGAACAATCACTAGCTGAGGTAATACTTCACCATTTCAGAAAGTACAAGATGTAATCCAAACATCCGCAGCGCCCACTGTACCATATTAATAACTATTAGTCAAAGGCTAAAATTCTTACCCCCAAGACTTATAGCTTGATAAACAACCCTTACGTGTCCGACATACAAGAAGATATGTCTTCAAGCTATTTTCCGCAGTTCATCTTGGTGTCGTACGGGGTTGGTATAAAAGGTGGTGCTATCATCAGCCAACTTCAGTCCATCGCCTGAGTTCGAGTACAGTTAGTTAACTTTGCTCTAATAGCGAAAACAAAGAAGCAAGCTGCGATTACTGAGTTTGGACGAGATGGTGAGGTTGCGTCACCATCTTACTGGTGAAGGCTGGAGAAGAGAGACTTTTCTGAAGACCCTTACCTGTCTACTGCTTCTTGCTGGTCTCACAGGTAAGTCAAATGCATTTATTTTTCTAAAATTAGTTGTTTAGCCTATGTGATAAGAAAATAGACAATTCATTTAAAAATGTTCAATAGAATTTAGTTTTATATGTTACCAAACATATAAAACTATATGACAAATATTGGACAAATAATTGGAAAGGGCAGATATTATTTTCTATTTAGTTAATGCATAAAATTAACATTTTCTCAATGTCTGATTTAAGGTGCAGACTCTTTCGACTTAGAATCAACTGAAGGTCCAGTAAAAATGGCAATTATTTTAATTTCATTGAAACATTTTAATAAATATTGTCCATTTTCTGTTTTCCCCCTACTAATGATCTTGTGTTTTAGAGAATGAAAGTTCCTCTTGCCATATTTAATGAAAAGTAATTTAACTTTTTTTCTGATCTATATCTTAAATTTAACCATGATTAAATTACATTACAAAGGAATCGTATGAAAATCGCATAATGCCATACAACTATAAATGAACTTCTCTCTAATTTTAATTTGAAACTTTTTTTTTCTATTTTCTAATTAATTAATTCGTATCAACCAAATCCTAAAACAGAATTTAGATGCATCTTTTATCATAAAACTTAAGCATTTTAAGATGACCAGGATATTGATAACGAGGTGCTAACTGAATATTTAGGTGTAAAAAGATATTTAAAAATAAGCCTTAATAGTTATTAGAATTCGCTTTTCTAAAATATAATATCTGCGAATTTTGTGATGTAATAACTTTTCATAATGTTCTTATTTACGTACGCTAAAGTTAGTTTTGCAGTTAATGTTCATAAGATTATCTTTCTATTATCTATCATTAATTCTAAAATTAAGCTTTTAACAATATTCGCTTGATTAAAAACTGGAATAATAAAGGTAAAGGAATCAAGATTAATAATGAAATAAGACAAATCTTTATACATAAATTACATAAATAGTAGGCTAGGATTTTGTTTTTATTTTAAATGAACATCATCACTAAAAGGTGAATTCATTTTGTCGTCAAGTTTATTTTCTGTGAGAAGATTTCAAAACTGCTTTTAAAAATAACATGCTTACATACTTAAAAAATAATAACTCTTATTGATTATAGTTCATAAACACAAAACTTCCTTAAGTACCTTAACTTAGTTTTATTAAGTGCAATAACAATAAAAACATAACTGTATATCATAAAATTCTACTTTCTTATGAGTAATACATTTTCATACAAGAGGCATTTTTATTTTTTGAAAGTGATTTAAACTGAAATGAATTTCAGAATGAGATTAAAGTGTTGAAAACGGAAATGATTTAGATAATCCCATAGTATATGATCTGTTTAAATGGCAGTTGAGAATTTTTGATTCTAAAATAGGATTTTTACTGATATAATTGATAGTTTACAAAAACGAATGATTCTTATGCTCTTTATATTGTATTTTAATAGCTGTAAATAATAGGTAATGGAATGCTATAATATTGATATAGAAATTCATATTCAGTAAAAATAAATAAAGCAATTACAGGATAATTTCCTTTAATATAGATACTTTGCGTATATTTCAGTTTACAAAGTTGCTCAAAATAAGTAGAACATTTTAAGAAAACATTCAGAACACTGTAGGTTTCAGGTATCTGGAAGCGTAAATTAAAACCATTTATATGACCTCAACTGTTAGCAAATTACCTACATAATGAAATAATAATTATGCATCATTAAGTTAAAAAGAAAAACTTTTCATACGTTTAGGTGTAAATTTATTTGAGACGAGCTTCTTTTGAATATTAGATTTGACTGTAAAATCATTTTAAGGACTATTTAATTTATTACATAGTCAGTTATTAACCATTTATTAGTTTTATTATAAAATATATCCTTAGATCTAAGGTCAGTTATTTAATAATCATGGTCATGAATTACAGTCTTGTGACACCAGTTATTTCATTAGTTGTATTAAAGTCATTAGTTAATACATCAGCATTATATCTGTATCTAACATTTATTACTTCATTTACTATCTAAAAATAGAATAAATGCAGATACGAACCATCTACCTTTAATTAAAGTACTCGTTACAAAAGACGAGAAAGGAGACTGTGACAATTTGGTTAAAATATTTATTTTGTCAAGCTTTATATTGCATGAAGCAATTCTGATGGCATTAAATCTTTTCCCCGAGACCTGGAAGGCCTAATTTTTCTTTTTCAAATCACTGTGGCTATTTCTATCACATTACATCACACATATATGCCATGTATTAAGATTTTCATGGGATTTTCCATAAATTTAATGATGAGTATGCTTTAACAAATATATACGTTGGTGACTGCCAAAAGAGGATTGTTCTTTTAAAGCCTTTCTCATATTCAAGTTTATTATTCAAGTTTTTACACTGAAAAATGTAATCTGAACATTGTCAATTTAATTATTTTCTGAACTTTATTTTCAATAGGTATAAGATGCTCAAATTTTAAACACCTTATTGAATAAATTTTGTATTCTTTTAATAAAAATTGTCTTTTTAATGTCAGGAAGATGGATAATTTTAACAATTTTTAATTTTAAAATTTTGCGAGAAATGGCAGGGCTAAAACAAAAAGTGAAAGGTGATAACATGCATTAAGATTCTCAATACCAGTTCTTCTAAAAGTAGAAATTAAAATTTGATTCACTAATTGCCAGGCGTTAAATAAACTTCTTTCGAAACTGGTCAGACAGCAGCATATCAGCGCATAGTAAAAAGAACCGGGATAGCGAGATTTTCAGAGAAAGGCTACATATTGTCTTCTGTCTAGTTTTGCTACAAAATTTCTTAATTCCATGCATTATAATTATTCTTGAATACTCAAATAATTTAAATTTTCTGAACATAGTTGAAAGTAAATGAGAATATCAGGAAAGAAGTGCGAAAAGAACTATGTAGTTAATATAAAACTGACGTTTTGAAAGGAAATTCATTTCAACTTAATATTTTTAATTGCCTGAAAATTCTGTAATAAGATTAAGCAATGAGATTGGATTGCATATTCGGATACCAGGTATAAAGACAATTTCAGAGTGCCGGACTATAGTTATTACTAAGTATAAAATCGTATGGTCAATATATTAACATAATGTACACACAAAAAAGGGAGGTATTCTGAGACTAAATCAGACTTTTTCTGAAGTGATATATCTATTTTTTCCCATATTTCTAGTCAACGATTCAAATTATAGCAAAATGTCAAGTTTTTGTAAAAATCGCTAGAGTAGTTTTTCAAAAATTAGTTCTAAACATTTTAGCTCCTCAAGTATTAACAGTTTTCGGTATATACACTGGTGTGCAAAACTTAAGCAGCGGCAGGATTTTTGGCCATAACTCCACGAGAAATCAACTGAGAGACACATCAAATGCAGAAATGAAGGAGAGTATTATATACGTAAAGGATGACGAAAGCATCGGAGCTGAAAAAGGAATACAATGCATACGGTATGGAATCAAACAAAAACAAGCTTTATTGAACGCATAGTATCGTGACTCATGATTGTCTATCCAAGAGGAAGAACAACAAGCAGATGTTCCTTAATATGGGATATGCCCTCTCCTCACTGCAATGGTTGCTTTGCACCGTCTCCGCATACTCAGAATCAGCAGGTGCAACATTTCTTACGGTAGGAGTGTCTATTCCTCAATCAGCATCTGTTTGAGTTGTTGGGTGTTCTACGGAGGATGTAAGCGTGCTGCAATGTATCTCCCCAAAGCTTCCCACACATGTTCGATGGGATTTAAATCTGGGAAGTACGCTGGCCAATCCATTCGAGTGATATCTTCACTTCCCAGTAGCTCCTCAACAGCAAGAGTCCGATGTGGCCGTGCATTGTCATCCATAAAAATTAAGTCTGGGCCAAGGGCACCTCGGAACAGACGAACATGGAGAAGGAGTACCTCCTCACAATAGCGATTCCCGGTTACAGACCATCTGTCGAAAACGCGGAGCTCAGTTCGCCCGTTCAGCACAATGCCTCCCCAGACAAGAACTCCAGGACCACCGTTACGGTGTCTTTCCTTGATGTTACTAGGATAAAATCGAGTCCCGACCTCTCTCCAAATCGAAACGATTTGATAATCGCTTCTGGTACTGAACCGACTCTCATCCGTAAAGAGGACACGACTCCATTGATCAGTTTTCCAGTTTTTGTACTCTCTGCACCACTGTAAACGGTGGCGTCGGTGGCCAACTTTCAACGGGAGGCAGCGTTAAGGACGGCGGGCGAATAGGCCCCCTTTGTGAAGGTGTCTGGCCACAATAAACCGCGACACTTGTCGCCCCGTTGCTGTACAGAGTTGCTGAGCAATGGCGCTTGCTGACTGCGGTTGCTATCTTTTCGCCTGCAGGACGATATATCGGTCATCCCCTGCAGTTGTCGTCCTCGGGCGGCCACCACCAACCTTTATAACAGCTGTACCTGTGGTTTAGAACGCTTTCCAAGCGCGCAAAAACACAGTTTTGTTGATTCCGAACTCTGCATCTTTACTGGTGACAGTACGCCCCTTCTCCAGCTTTCCGATCATTCTTCCACGTGTGAAGTCGTCCAGGTGATTTCTTCTAGCCATATTTCACGAACTGAACTCACATGGCACTTGCAACGAATGTGTTTAATTGCGTCTCCGTACTTCCTTTTATTCTACTGTTGAGCTGAGCGCGCTGACATCACGCGTTTTGTGTACGCTCACGTCGCCTCTGACGTTTGGCTCCTGATATTTGCATACGCATGACGTTTCTACTGACTTACGTGTTTATTGTACTGATCTCCAGACCTCCTTTTCTGCAATTTCATGGCTATCTGCTAAATTTTTAGATTGTTGCTTAAGTTTTGCACAGCAGTTTATTTATTCATATCCTTTTTTTTTATTAAACTTACTGGAGTCGTTACGCATTTCGAAATTTAGGTTATATGCCGTTAGATTCATCCAAATTAGATTCAAAATTCGTAACTGCTTTCTAATTTGTTTTTGAATTTGTATTTTTAGTAATTTTTATAAAAACAATCGAAAACATTAATTTAGAAGCCAAACGTTTGAATAGAAAATTTGTTCGGCGTGTTATTGTATCTTAATTTCGAAAACATTTTTGAGCAATAATCCTCAAGTGTTAATGGCCTTAAAGTAGATGCATTTCTAGGCATAACTGCAAAAAATTAGAGTTTTTATTCAAAATTTTCAAAGATATAAGTGAATTTATTCATTGGCGTATTTTGAAATTTGGCATATTTGTTATAGGCAACAATAAAGCCAAATGTGGTTTACACATTTTGTTAAAGTTATTCGAAAGAATGAGCGATGCACCTTTTTTCTCGCTCGCGCACAATGAAAAAAACGGAAAGGAAAATAGGTTACTACAAAATAAGAACTTTACCACATGAATTAAATTAAAAATTAAATTAAATTAAAATCCAGGAAAATTAAAAATTTATCCTAATGAAAACTGGAAAAAGTTCACATAGATAAATTTTTGATGTTTTGGTAAGTTTTTCACTAAATTTTATGAAACTTAATATTAGGGCGTAATTTGATTAGTAGAATCGAAATGTATAGAAATGTCGATGTGTCATACTAGAAAAAGTCCGATTTTGTGTCAATAAAATGATGCTATAAATAAATCTAATATATATCCCAAGTCGAGCTTTCGAGACATGAAAACGCAAATCAAATTTCGTCAATCGGCCCAGCAGAACGGGAGATATAACTGTCCCCCTTTTTTGTGGAGAGTGTACATTGTAAATACACTGACTACCAATAAGTATTTGGACACCTATGCAAATGACGATATCTGCGGTCCTAAGGTACGTCAAGGACTCCGCCGGTATATATCGTGTAGGAAACAGCATCGGATTTAGTCGCATGCAAAATGCCTCGCAGTTCGGAGCTCTCTGATTTCGAGAAAGGTATAATTATCTGGTATCACAAATGTGACCTTAAAAGACATATCCTTAAGGGACATATCTAGCGATCTCAAGTACCCAAAATCGACAGTGCCTATGTGATTAAGAAGTGGAAGGTGAGCGGTGATTGTCGGAATGTGTCCCGAGTCGGCAGACCAACGAAACTGGGAGATAGAGACCGACGAGTGCTGTCCAAAGAAATTCGGAAGAACTGCGCTCATCCGCGAGGAGTTTCAACAGGCATCCGGGAGTATTGTTTCAATGAATACCATCCGTAAGGAAGCACATCTGCTTGGTTTTCATGTTCGTGCTGCTGCCCATAAGCCTTTGATGACAAAGTCCAACCTCGCTGCTCGGTTAATGTGGTGCAAAGCACTTCGAAATTGGACCGTAGATCAGTGGAAACAGGTTCTTTGGAGTGACGAATCGCGGTTCACCCTTTACCGTTTCGGATGGCAGGGTCTGGGTCTGGCGTCTACCTGGAGAACGTCTCCTGCCAGAATGCATTGTGCCTACAGTGAAGTTCGGCGGAGGTGGAATTATGGTCTGGGGGTGTTTCTCCTGGTATGGGCTTGGACCCTTGGTCCCTATTCATGGTAAGCTCAACGCCGATGCCTACTGCACTATTTTGGATGACAATGTGCTTCGTACGTTGTGGCAGTTTTACGGGTTGGAACCCTGTTACTTTCAGGACGACAATGCCAGTTGTCATGTTTAGACGTTAAGCAAGGCTTGTTATTGTGCCAATGGAGTTCATCGAATGGACTTGCCTGGCCAGAGTCCAGACCTGAACCCTATCAAGAACCTCTGGGACGAGTTTCATCGCCGAATTCAGGGGTGCACTACCCGTGCAAAATCAGTGAAGGAACTTCTATGTCTTCTCCAAACCGAGTGGAAGAAAATACCACTAGCTGTCATACAAAGACTTGTGGAAAGTATGCCCCGGAGGGTCCACGCTGTAATTACCTCTCGTGGAGGCTCTACCAACTATTGATGATTTTGAATAAAGTTAGTTTTTCCTTTCTATCACCGGTGTCCAAATACTTATTGGTAGTCAGTGTATATGATCTATACGGTAACATTAATAAAGAAGTGGGGTGATAATTTGATAAGAACTTCTCATTTAAAGTCAAACATAAAACTTTCAGCTTGGATATGATACATACAAATTGATAGTAATTTCTTATAAAGCGAAACATGTTTGAATGCATTTGCATAAGGAATCTTGACATAAGTTTATGAAGGCAACAGATGAAGTATTAGTTATTGCAGTGACGTTCACAACATATCAAAATATACATTCATAGAAATTAAAGTTAATCTGTAAAAGTAAAGCTAAGATGAATACACTAATATTTTTAAACATGAAAATAGTCAGAATTATAGGGTATATTAATGCAGATAGCATAAGTCTGAAAATATGCGTACATGTTTGGTAAGAAAAAGTATAACATGTTTATATACCGAAATATATACGTATATTTTCTCTCTCTGGAAAGATAAATAGGAAATTCTATGATGCGCAGATTCATTTAAAGAAGAATGAAATAAAAGGTAGTACGTCCAAAAGTTCCATATATACAATATGCTTTTGTAATCTAGAAAACTTTCGGCTGTTAACAAAAATGTTTATATTAGTTATAATGATAAATAAATTTATGTTAAATGTTTTCGTAGAAAACGTTTCTGTAGGGACAGTAAATTTGGAAAATTTAACTGCGTTTTGCTAAACATCTTATTTTTTATTCAAAATAAATCCGTTAACTGAAAACTTGTATATTTTGAAATATATTAAATTAATTAAATTTTCTGTTCCAAAACAGTCGTAAATTCCTGCAATTGACTGCAGGATATTCTAGCAGTAGTTACATCATCTTAATATATATTTCTTAGTGTTATATACGTATTTTGAAGATTTTAGTTGCATTAGTAAAATAATTTATACCTGCGCTGAGTTTCTGTACGTCAGCTAATTTGACTTAATTATTTCAAGCAAACGTTAGCTGTATTTTTAACCTTTCTAGTATACAGCACTATACTAATAACACAACGGGCCTGCACTATTTTCAAATTGTTTAACTTGAAAAATAGTAATAGTTATAACAAACGCCCTTTTAACTACGAGAATTCCTATAATTAGTATTTAGAATTCAGCAGAATATTTTCACATTATACACAATGTGAAGTAAAACAAATGATAAAAACCCGAATTAACAGTTAGGGGATAATTAAAGCGAAAATGCATATATTTCTTTGACAGAATTCTGTAGAAGGTTAGAAAAAGAAGCATGTATTTTTCATGATTTTAATATTACATATTCTACAGAAACAAATATTTTGAAACAAAATGTCGCATATGAAATCAGTTATCTTCGTTGATGATTTCGTTCTTAGAATTTCATTTATACATATGTTTTACTTGTGATAAAGTTTTACTTCAATAATGAATTTGTAACTTTAGTTAATCATTTTATATTTCAGCTGCATCTGGTTTCAAATCAGCTGATAAATCTGCTCCGGATGAAAATCTTCTGCAGCATGAGAATACCAGCACTGTTCCAACACCTGAAACAAGCTCAATTTCGAATCCTCCGCTTCAGAATGGCTGGCGATCGAAAAGAGCATTGCCTGATCTTGAGATTTCTGATGTCTATTCTTCCGACAAAGATCTAGGACGTGTGCCGGAAGGAGTTAAAAAGATCGCTTCTAAAGCTCAGGGCAATTATATCATTCCATATATGAGACCAGGCCGTTCAATGTTTTCTGAGCCTATAAGGAACATTGAAGCTACTGACTTTGATTTTACATTAGATCTTAGAAACAAAAGAAACAACACAATAATACCTACGTTACGGTACGGAAGAAGAAGTATTCAAGGACAAACTTCCTTTATTCCCTACATGAGCTTTGGTAGGTCAGATGATATTTATGATGAATTTGATTCAGACAGAGATTTAAAAGTTAAGAAGTCTGGAACTATCATTCCACAAGCACGATATGGAAGAGGCAATAAATATATTTATAATTCTAAATCAGAGTTGAATACTGAAAAGGAAAACGTTGATGACATTTGGGGGGATGAAAGTGATCCAACAGATACCACTGATGACGACAATGGATTTAATAGCGAAGTCAAAATATTAGATTTATTTTCTACACCATCACAATCTTTTAAAACTGATTTAAATAAATCGATCGAAAAAAGAACAATAATTAAGAAAACTATTATTCCGCATCCAAGGTTAGGGCGAGCTTTAGACAAAAAGAATATAAAAATGAAACAGATTGAAAAGCGTTCCATAGCAGATCTGAAGCGTCAAAGCACAGATTTATTACTTCCTCAAATCAGATATGGTCGTTCTGTAGATTTGGTAATTGACAAATATCCTACTAAAAATCGACAATCAGAATCTGAAAAATCACAGGACTTTATTTTACCTTACCCTAGACCTGGACGATCGATAAAGAGTCCTTCACACAGGGATGAAATATCGCATGCGAAAAACGCGAACATACTTCTACCTTATCCTAGACCTGGACGCTCTAATAAAAATCTCGAAGTCGTAAGTGAAGTACATCTAGAAAATAATTCAGATCAGAAGCGACAGGGATATATGGTCCCATTTGCTCGATTAGGTCGTTCAGATAACGCAAAACAACTGGGCATTTTAAGAGATACCGAAATGATTAAGCAGTTGCTAGATGAAGAGCATCTACATGATCAATCCCTTTTAAAAATACAATCGAAAGAAAAGAATGAAAACAATGACACCGAAGAAAGTGCAGGAATATTTATTATTCCATACCCGAGACCAGGTAAGAGGCAAGAGCCTACTGAAGCCACTTTTGAAGGAAGGAATTTAGAAAATGAATCAAATGAAGATTTACAGGGGAATGAGAAGGAAACCATGATAAAAGAGGAAATACTTAAAACAACAGAAGATATGGAAAAACCTAATAGAGAGCTATTAAAAGGTATTTATATAGTTCCTTATCCTAGACTCGGAAGATCAGACACACTTGTACCTTACCCAAGATTGGGAAGAGCTTCAGATGCAAATTTTATGCTACCTTATGTCAGGTTAGGAAAGAAATCCTATGATGACATCATTCCTTATCCACGACCTGGTCGGTCAAGTTCTGGTATCCTACAGCAATATATTCTACCCCATCCAAGATTCGGACGACAATCGGATGCAGCGTTTATGTTACCTTACCCCAGATTAGGGAAGAAATCATATGGAGACATCATTCCTTACCCGCGACTGGGACGTTCAAATTCTGAAGAAGAACAACAGTACGTATTACCCTATCCAAGATTAGGTAGGTCTCCAAATTCACAAGATCATTCATATCAAAGTGATAAGGGTGAGTATATCGTGCCTCTTCCACGACTAGGTCGATCAGGAAATTCAGGCATAATGATACCATATCCAAGACCAGGGCGATCTGAAACATCTGACATAATGCTGCCATATCCAAGACCAGGACGATCAGAAAGTTCTGAAATAATGCTGCCATACCCAAGACCAGGGAGATCAGGAGAATCTAATATAATGCTGCCGTATCCAAGACCTGGGCGAACAAAACATTCTGATTTAATGCCGCCATATCCAAGAATAGGGCGATCAAAAAATTCTCATGTAATGCTTCCATATCCACGGCCAGGGAGATCAGAAACACCTGATATAATGCTGCCGTATCCAAGACCAGGGCGATCGGAAAATCCCAATATAATGTTGTCATATCCAAGGGCAGGGCGCGCAAGTCAGAGTAGTAACAAGTACATTACACCATATCCGAGACTAGGGAGATCTGAAAATGTTAGGAATATGTTGCCTCCAAATAATAACACAATGGTACTTTCTAACGACACTTTAATACCCCAACTCCGGTACGGACGTTCCAATCATGCTTCCAGCTATGTTGCTCCTTATCCCAGACTGGGAAGATCTGAAGACAGAGAAACAATCATTCCTCAACCTCGAATGGGACGTGCAAACGCAGACTACAATATTGCATCAACAAATGAAGTGTCTGAAAACGAAATGAATGAATTAACATCTTCAGAGGAGAATGCATTATTGTTCAGTGATGAACTTATGCTCTCTGAAACCACCACTGAAAAATACGGTTTTATGCCTTATCCAAGAGTGGGAAGATCAGAGAAAAGAAATAATCAAACATACATCGTACCTTATCCTAGATTAGGACGTTCGGATACTAATTCTACAGTCGAAAATAAACATGACAAAAATATTATAATACCTTATCCAAGACTCGGCAGAGCAGAATTTGAAGCCGAATAGAGCAGTAAGCTTCGGAATTACTCTGGTGATTCTAAAACCATCTTACCATATTCTAAACCAAGACGTTTTGTTAAATAGAAATTAACGAATTTCGAACAACATTGAATTGGTTTTAACATGGTATGGTAGAGTTTGCAATATTATAAAAAGAAAAAAAATATGTATTTTTAGTTTCTTAATATAAAACTAAGAAACTGATATTCAAATGTTTTTTGGACGTTAGAAATGGATATATTTAAAACGTTTGAAAATAAAGCTATGTGTCCTTTCATGAGAGTGTTCTTTGGGATTTTAATTCATTATTCACTTCTCAAATTTATAGTTTTACTCAAACTACATTGTGTTTGTTTTAAAAAGTTTAACTTTCATTCTAAATAACTGGAAATCAATCATTGAAACGATTTTATGTTTTTAATTATTCGTTAGTAATTAATATAATTATATTAATATTTGATTTATTTAAAATTAATTAATTTATTTGTATGAAAATTATTTTTATGAGATTGAACTTCATTCTTCTTAACCTGTAAAGAGCACAGGACACAGATGGAAATATTATATTTGAAGTTATTAGGATTTTATGCAATCACTGAATGTTGTATCAGCAAAGAGTCTGCCACGTCTTTACAAAAATTATCACTTATTATGATTTTTTAGCAAAGGAAAAGTAGACGAAAAATGTCTAAACTAAGAAAATTGCAAGTCTTGTGGTTTTACTCTGATAGAAGCATAAAACTTGATACCTTTCCTTCTTAAATGCTTTCAATTTGCAAAACACATTATTAAATTCAACATAATTAAAAAGCTTATTTTAAATATATTTTTAAATTTTTGTTTAAAGTGCAATTAATGTATTTTTTATTAAAATGATTTGAAATAGCTGTTTATTACTGAATTTTCCTTTGAAGAATTAATCATGTATTAACAGCTATGATTTCGTTAAGTAATTCCTTAACAGTTCGTTTTAAATTATTTTTCACAAATCTTCGGTTGCGATATTTTTTGCAATCGTATTACCCAAACATTATTTAATGACACTTTCTAGAAAAGAACGGAAATAGAACTTTTAAAATTATTTTCAGATTAATTAAGCATCTTAGCATTGTTATTTTTCTTTATTTGTGGAAAAAGAATTGCAGCGATACTTTTGCTTGATCGCAGTAAACACGCTCTTACTATTGGCATGCTTTTAATTCAAACCTCCCTTAATGTGCTCATTTAACACTTCCGTTCCTTTCTAGAAAGTCCAATCGATGCAAAATCGTTGCCTACAGAAATCCGTGTCTCCGAAATTACGGCTCTTTCAGCTTTCATCGATAGATGGCGCTACGCCTTATTTCATTTTTGAAAACCATCTGTCCATGTATCCTGCTGTTTTAGATTAGAGAAAATTATAAGAAAGATAATTTGTGTTAAAGGATACATTTGTGATTTAGAAATTTAAGGACATAATTTTAAGTTATTTGTCACGCACACTAAATGACATATCACTAAATCTTCAACTTATATTCGAGAAAAGGAAATTATTCTTGCAATTAATTTTATTTCATTTGTTTAATACTCGTAATACGTTCAATATATATTCATATCTTTTAATTTGTTTATTAAACATATAATATTATACCCTTGTACATAGCTTTCATAACATTATAACATTTGTGCATTGTTTATATACTTCTACATAGCTTATAAGAAAGGCTTTAAATATTTGCAATCATTCAGCAAAAAGAATGTTTCGTCTTCCTTTTATCAAAAATATAAATGCGAGAAAAATAATTGATACATTTTAAAATTTTAATTTGCAGTTAAAAATTTGGAACAGTTTAAAGTTTTTCTTAAAGGGATTAAATAATTAATAAAATTATTGAATCATAGCTTTAATCCATATTATTATTTTCGTTGACAAAAGCATTTTGCTAAAACTTGAAGGAGTAGACGAGCTTAATGTATTTTTTCTGCAGAGTGCTTCAGAAAGCTAATAGGGTTTATTCCAGGTTTTTGTAAAATATTTTACAGGGTGACTTCCGCATTTAATTCTTAAACAAGTGCAGTCTTTTCCTTCATATTTTTATTAAATAACTCTTTAAAAATGTGGCAGTCAGGAAAGAACTGCATTGTGTAAAATTAAGTGGCAAATATTTTCTAACATTTGCTCCCTACCGATACTGAACTGTGTTATAAAATATAAGGAATCATGAGATGACATGTATGATAGTAAAAGCATTGTATTCTATACTACGACTTTACGTATTACTTTTAGTCTAAACTGAATTTTTATTTGAATTCGAGCGTAGCTATGTTAATGATAATAATAAAAACACTACAAATAATATATTCTAAATATATATCCTTTGTGACATACTTTTATATTAAGATTTATATAAAGCAAATAATAATTATAAATTTGTTAAGAACTAAAAGCAAATAATCTTAAAATAGAAGATGCACAATTAGAAAGTCTTTTAACAGATTTTGCTCAGAAGAATAAATCAAAAATTAGATGAATAAAGAATATCACAATTAGATTCAGTTCTCATTTATTACATAACATGAATAAATTTAACTTGAAAACCTGAAGTGAAATTTACAACAGCATCCCTTACCTCACAATTAATAAACAATTAAAAATAAGAAGCCTACGGTATCACAGAATTAGTTAAGAAAGGTAACAGAGTGGTACCAACCTCAAGGATAAGTTGGCTCAAGGGAAAGTGATCAGTGAGAAAAGAAATTACATTAGGATTCACTTAACCCCAGGAAAGTCAAAGCACTCAAGCCCGACCATTCAAACAGGGAACATTCATACCTGCAACATTCAAGCTCAAGACTGATGATAGGCAAAGTTCAAGAGGAAAATCATTTTAATACTAATTATTACTTCGACTCAAAATTATTTGAAATTATTTGTCGGTCACTAGGATAAGGTCAGTAATAGAACTGGCACTATTCGCTCTATCCTCGTAATGAAGAGGATTGGTTAGATCGTAATTAAAATCAAAATCTTTGCAACGTAAAGTAAATCTTTAAGAAAATGATTAAAAAATACAAAAACAGGAAAGGTTTAAGATTTTTAACTGTCGCTCTAAAGGGTTTGTTCAGGATTTTACACTCTCATTGAGCTTGCGATCTGCTGTTGCACTCACTCCTTCTGACCCATTTTTTCCCTCGTTTTAGCTTTATTATTGAGGTTCCTTTGCACTTACTCCATATACAATTAAACAGGAAAATCACAAAAATTTTAAAAGTAACATAACAGTATACGTCTAAAACTCTTGATGCAGCGTTAAGTTGTTGGCATACATTTTTCTGTTTTCTTTAGTCTTTTCTCAGTTCATCTCATCAGTTTTCTTACTATGATGGCATTGCAAAATTTTTTTGTCGTTTTATTATTAACGTTTTGTTTGTTTACTTTATTTTCTAAATATCACTTTCTTGGTGCTTACACCACATAAAATTCCATTCAACAACAAAATCACAAAATATTTAAAAACAGCATGTCTTTAGAATTTCCGACAGACAGTCTCACGCGCTGGAGATAAAAATGTTGTTTTCTGTACAGAGTTGTCAATGCTTGCTTTGAAATTGGTGAGTTTGTTAATGAAAAATTCGTTAAAGTTTTACAAAAGATAAAATAGATAATAAAAACAAATTCGAAATTAAAATTCGGGCTTCCACCTGCCCAAGTTCGGGTGGAGAACTACGTTATTCAAAATTGGATGGCTCTAGGTACCGTTGGTTTTTGAAAAACATGCATACATTCACGAAGATTCGTCTTTATTTAATTTCTTTAAATATTCATTCGGGACTAACTTTCCTTTTGGGCTAATAAATAAAAGGAGTTTCAAGGGAAGCGCTACAGAAATACATATTTGCGTAATTTTAGCATAAGATAAGATTATATTTCAAATGCTAATAATTTCACCTTTGCTATAGAATCTTTTTAGATACGTTGTAAATTATACGGCTCTATAATTTCAAATATAGCTGCTTTTGCCACTAAAACTAATGGTCGTCATCATGTGATTCCTTGTTTTTTTTTTTTCATTCTGGTATCTCAGTCAACGTTTGTATTATCTCGGTCAAAATTGGATTTGATAAAAATTTCCACGCATGAAAAAAAAGTTATTAGAGAAAAGGATGAAAAGGAATCAATTTTAAGTAACAATAAGAAATTTATGAAGAAATTTTTTTAATCTATTTTGTTTCTTAAATTAGAAAACTTTTACTTCTCTTTATTTTCTTCTAAAAAGGATCAAAATCATACGTTAACGAGGTTTTAATTGCACGTAACTTTCATTGCTTGTCAAATATTGAGACAAAGTGAACTGTGAAAAATCACATACATTTCTTACAAATGTTTAACTCTGAATTTTATTAACATCTAAACAATTAGTATAATTAACAAATGATGTTTCTATCAGAGCGTACTAATCTTTACAAAAGTACTTCTCTTTATTTTTATAACTGCCTTTTATTTTGATAATCCAAATTGGTATTGTGGGTGCACTACGGTTAGAATGGAAGTTACTGAATATTTTAAATAATTAAAAAAAATTTCTAGGAGGAAAAATGCGTCTAAAAGTAATAGATCATTTTTACTTTTCGTATTCGATATATTTAAAAATCAAAATTTCAAGATGATTCCTATCTTGAAATTTATTATATAATTCCTATCTTGAAAATTTCTATAAGTAAAGAATTCCTATTTTTCCTATATAAATATAAAAAGTATAAAATTCATGGATTTTAAAGTATGATTTAAAATAAAAATTATAAATCAATTCTACATGTATTTCAAAATAAATCAACTTGATATATTAAAAATTATACCAGGTATATATATATTATTCTTATAACAAATCAAGATAAAATTAGTAATAAATACGTATATTGCGCAGTTACAGAAGAGACACAATGTAAAATGCAAAAGCAGAGGAAAAACAGTCTTAGTTTGGTATAGACTATAGTCTTAGTTTACAGTCTTAGTTTTGTTTTACAGTCTTAGTTTGGTTTATACAAAAACACCAACTGACTTCTTTTCTTCAGAAAGAGAGGGGGCAATTGTATCTGAAATGATTAGAACTATACCTGTCGCCCTCGAAATTGATAAAGCCTTTAAGTAATATCTCTCCCAACCTAAGTTGCCTAATTTTGCGTACATTGTTCTAAAATCGCTTATTTTATCAAGTTTTAATTCACTCAAAAATTTAAAGTCCTATTAAGAATAATCACATTTCGGAGTTAGCAGTTTTGAGTTTAGATGAAAAGT